GGCCTCTGACTGCTGTGGCCTCTCCCGTTGCGGAGCACAGGCTCCGGACGCGCAGGCTCAGCGGCCATGGCTCACAGGCCCAGCCGCTCCGCAGCATGTGGGATCTTCCCGGACCGGGGCACGAACCCGCGTGCCCTGCATTGGCAGGCGGACTCTCAACCACTGCGCCACCAGGGAAGCCCAGTTAGCTTTCTTTTGCAGTTGTTCAACCGGACCAGAGAGAGGAGCAACTTGCCCAAGGTCATACAGCTGGTAGTGATAGAGCTGGACTAGACTCCAGTCCTTTCCTCCTAGATCAGGGCCCTTTCCACACACCAGTGCCCTTGTGAGGATTTGGGGGCGGGGTGTTGCTGGGAAGAGTGCCACGCTCTGATTCTGGCAGGACTACCTCTCCCAGCCACCCTGTCAGCAAAGCCCCATCCTACATACTATTTGCTCAGCAAAGGGCTCTAGAGAAGGAAAGGATGCCCCACCCCCACTGGACCCTCAACTTTCTCCCCCTGCACATCTGCCTTCCCCTCGGGTCCAGATGTATCCTTTCACCACTGTTAAAAACATCCAACAGTCAGGCCTGTGAGTGCTACAGGATTTCCCTCGTAAACTGGCTTAGAATTCTGTGTCTACTACTCAGCTGTGTGACCTAGAACATGTTACTTGGAGACAGATTTTCATCTGAAAAGTGAGAGTAAACAAAATAACCACCTTGTAGAGTCTGCTTTAAGGACTGAAGGAGATAATGCATGTAAATGTGCCCTGCCCTGTGGATGATGTTTTGTAGGTATGTTGTAAGTGCTGGCTTCCCGGGCCCTTAGCCGCTGCTAGGCCTTGGCTGAATTCTGTCTTGTTAATACAAGCGATAAGTTCTTTTTTTTTTTTTTTAATTTTTTAATTTTATTTAATTAATTTTTTTATAGAGCAGTTTCTATTAGTCATCCATTTTATACACATCAGTGTATACATGTCAATCCCAATCTTCCAATTCATCACACCACCACCACCCCCTGCCGCTTTCCCCCCTTGGTGTCCATGCGTTTGTTCTCTACATCTGTGTCTCAATTTCTGCCCTGCAAACCGGTTCATCTGTACCATTTTTCTAGGTTCCACATACATGCGTTAATATACGATATTTGTTTTTCGCTTTCTGACTTACTTCACTCTGTATGACAGTCTCTAGATCCATCCACGTCTCAACAAGTGACCCAATTTCGTTCCTTTTTATGGCTGAGTAATATTCCATTGTATATATGTGCCACATCTTCTTTATCCATTCATCTGTCGATGGACACTTAGGTTGCTTCCATGACCTGGCTATTGTAAATAGTGCTGCAATGAACATTGGGGACAAGGGGTAAGTTCTTTACAGAGGCTGAAAATGCACATCACCCAGGAAAAGAAACTACAATGGCTTAAATCACCCTTTGTTGTCAAAGACCCAAGGAAAAGACTGCTAAGATGGAGATTTGATAGAGACAGGGAGAAACAGGAGGGCATTTCACCCTGAGGGAGGGTGGGAGCTTTGAAAGTGGAGGCCAAAAACATTAAATGTGACAGTGAAATACCAAAGGTTTCTCACGAAGTCAAGAACAAAACAGGGATGCCTATATCAGTGGCATTATTCAACATTGTTCTGGAGGTTCTAGCAAATGTAGTAAGACAAGAAATAAAAATATTGGTAAAGAAGAACAAAATCATCACAATTTATAATGGTATGTGTGTTTACCTAAAGAAATCCAAGAGAGTTCATTTTATTTATTTATTTAAATTCACTCTTTTTTAAAAAATTAATTAATTTTTGGCTGCATTGGGTCTTCATTGCTGCATGCGGGCTTTCTCTAGCTGTGGCGAGCAGGGGCTACTCTTCATTGCTGTGCGTGAGCTTCTCATTGCGGTGGCTTCTCTTGTTGTGGAGTACAGGCTCTAGGCATGCAGGCTTCAGTAGTTGTGGCACGCGGGCTCAGTAGTTGTGGCACGCAGGCTTAGTTGCTCCACGGCATGTGGCATCTTCCCAGACCAGGGATCAAACCCATGTCCTCTCCATTGGCAGGCAGATTCTTTACCACTGCGCCACCAGGGAAGTCCCGAGATTCATTTTAAAACCGCAAAGTAAGGAAGCAAGTGCAATAAAGTGTGTAAATAGTTTCCTTTGATACTGCAGCCACAACAAAAAGAAAACTTAACTGAGAAAAAGAAAAAGATTCCATTCTTATGAGCTACACAATACAATGCATTGGGATAAACTTAATCAAGTATATTCA